GGGAAAAATAAAAATTATGAACAAATACATATCTATCAACAAGTGAATCTAAAAATCAAGTGAATAAAAAAATCTGATGAACAGAATAAACTGGTGAATATAATATAATCAGGGGCATAGAAAGAGAGTGGACTGACAATTCTCAGGGGGAATGGGGTGTGGAGGGTGCGGGAAGAGACTGGACAAAAATCGTGTACCTATGGATGAAGACAGGGGGGCAGGTAAGGGCAGAGGGTGGGGTGGGAACCGGGTGGAGGGGAGCTATGGGGGGAAAAAAGAGGAACAACTGTAATAATCTGAACAATAAAGATTTAATAATAATTAAAAAAAGCAACTCAGCATCTCTCATTACCCTCTCAACAGGTTCCGAAATAAGGCGGAAGAAATCCCGTTCAAATTTGTCTGATTAGAAGTTTCCAAACAACCATATATTGCTGCCTTACAGACCCAGCTTAATAAGCCATACAAATGGAAGGTACTCTTTAGCTATTCACACACTGGCACTTTCTCTGACAGGCAGCAAGGTATAAGAGATGAGGGCGCTGAGCAGTTAGGGGAACCAGAGTTTAACTAGAGAGTTTCTATTTTAAGACTCCCCTCTGACCTGAAGAACTAATGACTCAGCTATGTCTTGTTCTTGTAATAAAAAAAAAAATGAAAAATTACACATACCTATTAGAAACCAGATCATATGGTTGGTGATACTATCTAAAGACAAGACAGATATTTAAAAAATCTTCAGTGAATCTACAGTATAGATTCCAGCTCAATGTCTTTGTGATTACTCACTAATTGTAGGAACGTTGGCGAAGGTTCTAGCTAAGACCTGAGCTCTTCTCTATTCTGTAAAGTGGAATGTTTATCTTAGAGAGGGATATGACACCGAACACATCATTTCTCTCAGCAGCAAACCATAGAGAATACAGACAAGATGTGGTGGGGAAAACACCATCTCCCCAAAACACTCCAAGGCATTCACTGTACCACACTTGAGAATGAGTGCTGCACTGCACATATAGAAATTAAACTGGTAAGGAAAAACATCACTTGTGCGAAAGTCTGGGAATTCATAAGTTGAAAATGGGCTGGGGGGATGGGGGGAGTGGTTGAGCTTACCTCTTATCACTTATTTGTATTCTAGTCCAGTACAGAGGCTTCATGGGACAACTAGGCTCAATGGCTGGTTTCCGAGGACATTGGCTAGAAGAAGGGCCGACTCCAAAGAAGAGGCCAGGAGGAGGTGGGGGCACAAGTCCTGGGAGTGTTGGAGCAGGAGGAGGCCCCCCACTGCTGGGCAGAATGGGTGAGCTAGGAAGTGGTGGTGGGGGAGGAGGCGGGGGAGGTCCAGTGCTTGGAGGCAGAGGAGGTGGCGGAGGTGGTGGTGGCCCTGCACTCACAGGTGGTGGCAGAGGTGCTGGTGGCAAAGGTCCAAGCCCAGGTGGTAGGGGTGGAGGGGGAGGGATGACTGCTGGTGGGGGTGGTGCTGTGGGGAGAGGCGATGCCTTCTCCTGGCCCGGTGAGATGCATTCCACAGACTGAAGTGGTGGAAGGATGTCTTTGTTGTCATTTGGGGGGGAGAGTTGGCTTAAAGAGGAGATGTTCAGCTTTTTGGGTATTATTTGGTTACTTCTGGTTGTCTTGCCTTCCCCTTCGCAGGGTTTGAGGAAAGTCTCTCTGTCTGTCTGGATGCACACATTTCTGTAGGTCTTGGGAGGGCAGTCGTCATTGGTGGAGATACACACATCTCTCATCTCTTCACATCCTCCACGCCATCGGTGCTCTATCTCGTGTTTGAGGTTTTCAATGGTTTCTTCTAGTCTTGCTGTTATCACTGCATGCTCACCCCGGATGTGAAAGGCCTGAAGTTCAAACTGAACCTGGAGAGAGAGGAGTAGGAAAGAAAGGAAAGCATTTATAAAAACAAATATCAGAAATAAAAAAAATGCAATACCTTCCCCATACCACCCGAGCACAGCTCACAGAAACGCAGGGCAATACACAGACATCCTTTAGAGAATCCGATGGGGTGTAAATTTCACTTTATGAATTTTCCAAGGACTTAAACAGTTGGAGTAGAGGCAGAATTTCATCCAGTATGAACTCATGGGGAATAATTATCATGGATTAAGGCTTAAAGTAAAACTGTCATCTAAGAACTTTCACCCGGTTTTAATATCAAATGCAAGACAAAATTTTTAATAAAGGTCTGAACATGCATGACTACATCTTTTATTACTTTTGGATTTGGTTTGGAAAAAGAATATTTTAAGAAAAAAATAGATTTGGAGATCCTTGGAGCTGCTGCTCTCACAGTCTTCCTCAGAATGTCTGTTCTATGGGGTTTCCCGGTCAACACAGCAGAAACAAAAGGTGCAAGAAGAAGCTATGATCTATGTGTATTTTCTTTAAAAGTTTCCACAACAAAGCTGCTCATGGTAAGTATTTGTATCTTTCATAATAATTCACAATATAGTAATAAATAAGCAATATAAATGCATAGAAAATGAGAATATAACAATTTGCTATGTTTTTCCTACATACCCAGCATTTTAAACTATACTTTATGACAGTCTTTTTAATACTTTTATGTTTTCAGTTATTTCAATGCCTTAAGTCTATGGTTTTATACATATCAGCACAGACCTGGCATACTCCCAGTATTAACTAGTCCATTTCCAGTTAGCCTATTACAGTTAACTGGGAAGCAGTCAAATTTATAATTTTATTAGAGTTTCAAAAATCTAGTTAAGAGTAATTAAATATTCCCAGTGAATTTATTTAATTTCTGCCTACCCATCTGACTGTAAACTCCACAAGATGAAATCAGAGACAGTGCCTTAATTTCTGTATCCCAGCAGCCTGCACAGCACGTACGTAGTACTGAAGAGATGGATAAAAACCACTGCCACAGTTATATTCAGCCACTGTCCAAAGAGCCTTCCTGCGTCTAACAAAACTGTCTTCAGTCTAATTTAAGCCCCCAAATATCTACAACGCCAAAGTGTATACAACGATAGATTCATTTTGCATTGAAAAGGTAAAGAAATACTTTTAACTGCCTAGTCAGAAAAGATTAAAAGACATAGGAAGATTTCCTACTTTCATTAAGACACTTCTAACTGTATTTTTGCTAGGTTCACCTTCCCTCCATGAGTCAACGCCCTCATAACTATGGCCAGTAGAATTAGAGACAAGGCTTTTCTGAAGCTGACTTTGTCATATGTGGATATGGCAGCCCCCAATTCAACTCAGAAAGACTTATCCATTTCAGGGCACCATGTATTTCTTGTCTAACAGAGAAGTTAGTACCTGAGTTCTGGATTCATTCGCCCTGGTTCACGTCTGCTTAGCCACTGGCTAGCTCTATGTTCTTGGGCAGGTAACTTTGTGTTTTCAAGCTGGAACCTCCTCAAATGTAAAGTGAGGGTAATAGTGAACCACCTCTAGGGTTTTTATAAAGATAAAAGGAGATACTTCCTATAAAGCAACAGGCATTATACCTGAAACTTAGTAAGTTCTGAATAAATGGTACTGTTAGCTACTGTTGCTCATGTCAATATTACAGTAAGAGACGAACAGACCTCTAATTCTTTGAAATGTCCAAATCATACCACCTTTGTGGAGTGATGGGCAGCAAACGAGGAAACGCTTAGTCAGGATAAACAATGTCCTACAAATACAATCATTTAGCCGATCTTTCATGAGTTCCACTACCAAATGCCTGGAAGTAATTTCAAGCTTCACTCAACTATGTGATCAAGATAATCTTTGTTTCAACATCTTACGCCATCTTTCTCTCCGTCTCCCACCCCTGCCCACCTCCACCCAGAGCCCAAGACTGATTCCCATCCTGAATTACTTGCCACCATTTCATTTTAGAGAATAGTTCAGTTCAGCCACAACGAACTAACTCTTGGTTGTTATTCCCAACTAACCTTTTCCAAGGAGGTTAAGTGCCAAATAATATTGATGGGCCAATAATTTTACTCAATCTTCAACTTCTTAATAATATGAAAAACTTGTAAGGACATGCTCGCAGAGAAACTTTCCCTTTATCTCACAGCTAGCCTGTAACTATACTGAAGGCCCTGGTCCCCACCTCTCTAGCTTTCCATTCAACCAACCATCTTTTGAATCCTCTGAAGCTGAGGTATACAGCTAAATACAGTTTTTGTGGTCCTGTAATGCATTTGCTTAATGTAGAGGGCAGAGTACAAATTGCACAGATTATTTTAGCTCCCTGTACCTCAGTTTTCTCATAAACAAAACAGGGATGATAACAGAATTCACCTCATAAGGCAGTTATGAGAAGCAGATGAGTTAATATGTGTAAAACAACAGATAGAGGAGTTGGAACATAGTAGATGCTATGTTATCATTATTGCTATCTCCTTGCTATGGGACAGATAAAAGAACAGTGGCTTGCCAAAACCGGTTTGGCTCAATGGAAAAAGAACAGTGGCCATATCAACTTCCTTTTGACTCTTGGCACGCTCCTCAGCTCCATGTTCTATCCATATAAAGCAAAAGCAAAGAGATCTAAATCCTTCTTTACTCTTCTAGATGTTACCCTTTCTTTCTCACTCTACCTCTTCCTTGTCACAGCAGAGTTTTTTTTTGTTTGTTTGTTTTTTTTGGTAAGTAAAGCATAGAACTCTTGCTTTATCTATTTTCTCATCCATCTTCCTTTCAACCAATTACAATTGGCTTCTGTGCCCACTGTCTTACTGAAACCGCATGATTTTAGTATTACAATTGGTCAGTACTTTAAAATATATATATATATATATATATATAATCCACTGAACCAAACCAGTTAGAGCTTGGTCGGCACTTTTTAAGTCCTCTAGTCCTTTGGGCTGCATTGTTAAAGTTGACTGTTGCCCATTCCTTGAAATTCTCTCTGTTTCCATAAACTTCCAATATACCCTCGTGATCCACCCCCATTTTCCTTCCACTGCTGGGCTCTCTCCAGTCAATCTGTGGACTCCTTTTCCTCCATTATCCCTTTCATGCTGTTCATCAGGCATCCTCCTTGCCATTTTATCTTTCTCAAATGATACAATCCTCAGGGTCATCTTTTGTACTCATATAAAATGACACTCACTATAAATTGTAACTTCCAAATTGTTACCTTCAAACTGTAATTCCAGCTATCCTCTTGTCTGGTCTACCTGCATACTTAACCAGCCATCTCAGACTCAATCCATCTGCAAACGAAGTCATCATCGCTAAACCTCAAGTTATCCCCCCTCTGAAATCCCTCCTTGCAGTTAATAGCGCCCTTGTCCTCCCAATCATCACATCCAGAAGCCTGGATGCCATGCTCAGTTCCTTGTTCTCTCCGATTCCCAACATGTTATCAACTAGTTACATTAATTTCTCTGATTCATCCCTTTCCTCCCATTCTCAACTTTTCTTTACCTGGACAATAGCAAGAGCCACCCAATTCATTTTAATTCATTTTTACCATCCAAGTTTGGCTACACTGGTTCTAGAAGGATGAAAAAAAAAAAGCCAATCTTTATTTCTTAAAACCCTTTCAATAATTGGCCATTACTCTCAGATTGACACTGAAAACCCTTTATCACAAACATACAAAACTCTTCCCATCCGTTTTATACCAACTTTCTCCACTTTGGCACGTGCCCCTTTCCCAGATATGTCCTGGACTCCAATGTTATATATCATCTTGCCTCTCCAGGGACCACGCTCTTTCATGCATCTGAGCCTTTGCAAATGGTGCCCTCTCTCAGTACCCAATGGCTTCCTTACAAACTGTAGTCACTGAGAGGAAGAATTACCAAATAAGGAGGAAATACTGAATTTCCATGTACTCCATATCAATATGCTGAGATTATAGTAAGAAACCCTTCTGACCATTAAAATTTAAATGGCCCACATAAAGAAACAACTTACCTTTGCCCTTCCCTGTTTCACAACCCCTTTGATCATTCGGATTTTGTCTTGGTTGTGTTCAGAAGCTCAGCATGACACAGTAATTCAAAGTGATTAAAGTAATAAGCACCTCATTCATTCTGTATCTGTCCATATCCTATCAATTATTGCAAATTGTGCCTGGCTCTGCTATAAATGAAGAATCTCAAGTCCATGTACACCATGAGCAGAGCCTTTGGGGAAGCTAGTTTTTAACCCCATTTTTCACTCTACTTCCTGTGAAGTGCCACTTGTACTTTGCACATGGAAACCATGTGCTGTTTCCTATCTTGTGTCTAGAGCCATAGCTAGAAGGACTGTTAATGATTTGTGAATCAAACACAGAGTAGAACTTTCTGTTGGATAAGCATGGACTGCTGGATAATGTTTGCCTGGGATCCCGGGAATCTTTATGAAATGTCAAGCCCAGGTTCTTACAGCCAAAATTGTAGCTAAGGCTGGGTCAAGGGAACATAATGCTTTAAAACCCTGCCAACTTTCTTTTCAGTGTCCTCTACTTTCATATCGAACATGGGGTTTGTACACAGAAGACAAAAGAAACCTTCCATTCACTTTCAGATAAATGCTCCTTGGGACATATAAGGCATTATGGGTTTCCCTCTCCCTGATCCTCTCTGCTAAAAATCTGTTTTTCTGCATTCATCTCAATATATAAGTTGACATAGGTGCTGAGGTTTCACATTTTTCCAGTTTCCCCCAAGTTTTATCTACCAGACTTCAGTCTATCTACCTTCCTTTACTCTTAACTTGATTGCTTCTCTTGTTTTCATGTTTAATCACATCCTCTTTCCACCTGCAATAATCAATTAACCGACACCCATCTCCTTCTAAACAAGATTCAAATTCACAATTTTTCAGAGAGTAAACCCAATTAAGCCATTCTGTTCGAATCATCCTTTTCCTTCACTAGCATTATTTT